TTTGTATTACTGTATTAGGATTTAGTAAGATAAAATTGTAACATAGAATAATAGTCAGTATAGAACAATTAATAATCAAAATAATTATTTGAGATAGAATAGTGATAATGAATAATAAATAATAATCTTCAATCCATCATGGTGAATAATATTTATGTTAATTCACCTTATAATGATCATGCAATATCATATTTAAAATTACATTACCATAAATAACCTTATCAATAGTTACTATAATGACTTTATTTTTTCTAAAATAAAAATCATCAATCTCTATCCACAGATGAAGTACAGAAACTACACCATTTGATATTCATTCACATAAACCATATTTTCACGCTTAAAATTACAGACAGGTATGGTGTTCCTCTTACCACAGCAAATACAAATTTTAAACAAATAATTTTATAATTGTTTATGTTATGTTTAACTTATCGRCCAATTGTTAGAGTAAATAATTAATGTAAATGCCATAGTACAGTCATAAAAATTGAATGTACAAAATATATTCACATTTAAAAAAATAATAATTAATAAGTGTTCATTTATTAAATTTATATGTACATTTGGATGTTCAATARAGATATACAAAATTATGTATACATAACATACAATTTGATATTAATATTTGATTATTTGTTAACAAATGGATAAGGATCGAATGTTTATATTATGCTGAAAATCACAATACACATACTATATACACCATGTATACTAATTTTATTCCATACTGAATAACAATTGTATAAAARAAAAAATAATACAATTCAAAAATTAAAATAATAATAGAATATGAGTATTCTACAATTGTTTAATTTAAACTTACATAATGTAAAAACATTGTGRTTAAACAGGTGGTGATTATTAGGTTGATCATCAATCAATCTTGACAGTAGTGTAAATTTTGCGCACAAAAGCATGAGCACCAATATAACCCACAGTACCACACATTATTCCTAAAGCAATGCTGAATAAGGCCATATAACCAAAATAAAATGCAGTTTGAAAAAGTCCATACATTCTGAAATATTAAATACAAGTGTTATGAGGGTTTTACAATATACACTTAATTAATTATATTAATTAATAAATTGATAATCAGATGAAACTACAATAAGGAAATTAATTGTCTTTTTATCTACACAACACAAGGTAATGATAAAAAACCACTTTTTGTAAATCACTGATTATGATAATATGGTTCAAAACCACAGACGGAAAAATAATGGATATTTTTCATTTTTTAATAAGATACAGGCTGGGACCCATGAATCAACAATTTGAAATATACTAGATATTTACAATAACTTTATGATAAGTAGTAATGCAATAATATAATAAGTAAAGTTAATAATGTTTATAAATAATGTTAATAAAGACAAAATTCACAATATAATACCAAAA